CCAAGTTCCTAGTGTTTATGTGTGGGGATGCTGTTTGAGGGTGGTGTCATCCAGAGAGCACTGTCTGGTGTCTGCCTGTCTACACAGCAACAGGAAGCATATGATCAGCGGGCAGGAAGGATGCCCATTCACTTCCCTGCTGTCTTTCCCCATCTATGTTTGGCATCATAATCAGCAAGTCAGTCTCCCTGCAGTGAGGACACTGGTCAGGGGCACAGGTTTATCTTTGGCTTGGGTGAAGGCATAGTGTTTGCAGACCCAGCTTTGCTGACACGGAGCCACCCTGGTCTCCAACACTAGCAAACCCTAGGTCTCCTGTGAAAACGCAGAGTCCACATATTCAGCTCAATACCTGGTCTTAGCTGAAAGCTGGTTTTTCTCTTGGCATTTTCTGAGATTTGATCAGTAATTTGCTTTTGACTTGAGAACTTTGTGCATTTCTTTCCAGCTCAGTATCTGCTGACTTAACAGTATTCTCCAGGATAGTGTGCAGTGAGATGGTTAGTCCATGACCCAAAGTTGGGGCTCACACGTGCTATACCAAGCACTCTACCACTGAGTTACACAGAAATCTTTTTTTTGGTGCTAGGGAGTGCACCAAGGGCCTCACACGTTTTAGGAAGGTTCTCTACCACTGACATTAACACTCAGTTCTGAGTATTTGTTCTTAAAAAAAAATTATTTTAAAGGTGTATATGCGTGTATTGCCTGCATGTATATAAGTGCACCCATGTTGTGCAATGCTCTCATGAATCAGAAGAGGGTGTCAGATCCTCTGGAACTGGAGTTACAGACAGTTGTTAGCCACCATGTGGGTGCTAGGGATGGAACCTGGGTCCTCTGCAAGAGCAGTCAGTGGTCTTGAGCCATCACTCCAGCCTCTTAAACTTTTTTTTTTTTTTTTTGGTCTTTTTGAGACAGGGTCTCCCTGTAGCCCCAGCTGTCCTGGAACTCACTGTGTAGACCAGGCTGGCCTTGAACTCACAGAGATCTGCCTGCCTTTGACTCCTGAGTGCTGGGACTAAAGGCGTGTGCCACCATGCCCGGCCCCTTAAACTCTTTAAAAAGTATTTTTATTAATGTGAGCGTGTGGTGCTGCGTGTATTGAAGTGCACCACGGTACACCTTGTACCCTGAGAAGCTAGAAGAGGGAACTGGACCCTTTAGGATGGCAGTGAGCTGCCATTTGAGTCCTGGGAACTGAACCTCGGTTCTCTTGCAAGAGCAGCCAGTGCTCCTAACCACTGACCTCTCTCTCCAGGACATCCCCCCCCCCCCCCCCCCCCCCCCCCCAAAAGCCAGCCAGGGCAAGTTGTTTTACCAAGTTTTATTCCCAGTTGCCAGGGGACACCTTTCAACTTCACAACTCTTAGATAAGAATTGTCACTTTTTGTTTGAGGGAGGAAGGGTCTCATGTAGCCCAGGCTATGTAGCTGAAGTTGGCCTTGAATTCTCAATTCTCCAGCCTCTGCATGCCAAGTGCTAGGATTACAGGCATGGATTATGTGCCACCATAATCACATTTAAAAAAAATATTTTATGTGTATGAGTGTATTGCTTGCATGTTATGTAGTGCACCCATGTGGTATAGTGCCTGCAGAGGTCAGAAGAGGGCACTGGATCCCCTGGAATTGGAGTTACAGATGTTAGCTGCCATGTGGGTGCTGGAACCAAACCTGGGTCCTCTGCAAGAGCAGCCCATGCTTTTAACCACTGAGCATCGCTTCAGCACTGATAACCACGTTTTTTTTTTTGGTCTTTTTGAGACAGCGTCTCTCTGTAGCCCCAGCTGGCCTGGAACTCACTACGTAGATCAGGCTGGACTCGAACTCACAAAGATCTGCCTGCCTCTGCCTCCCAAGTGCTGGGATTAAAGGCGTGTGCCACCATGCCTGGCTGATAATCACATTGAAAAAAATTTGTTAATGTGTATGTGTGTATCGCCTGCATGTAGGTAAGTGCACCCGTGTCGTGCTATGTCTGCAGAGGTCAGCTGCCATGTGAGTGCTGGGATTCGAACCCCGGTCTTCTGCAAGAACAACCAGTGTTCTTAACTGCTGAGCCATCTCTCCAGCCCCATAATGACATTTTTTTTTTTTTTTTTGTCTTTTTGAAGCAGGGTCTCCCTGTAGCCCCAGCTGTCCTGGAACTCACTATGTAGACCAGGCTGGCCTTGAACTCAGAGAGATCAACCTCACAGATCCGCCTGCCTCTGCCTCCCAAATTCTGGGATTAAAGGTGTGTGCCAGTATGCTTGACTTTTATAAACTATTAAAAAAAAAAGCAATCTCCAGATCGGGGCATGGTGGCAAAAGCCTTTTTTAATCCCAGCACTCAGGAGGTGGAGGCAGGTGGACCTCTTTGAGTTCAAGGCCAACCTGGTCTACATAGGAGTTCCAGGCCAGCCAAAGTTACTTAGTGAGACCCTGTCTGGGGAAACAAAACCAATACCCAAATAGTCTATTTCCAGTCTATTTCCAGGGATTAAAAGCAGGTACTGCTCTTGCAGAGGACCTGCACGCACATGGTGCACATAAACTCACACGGGGGCACACACAAATGAATAAATACACTGTAAAAACTATTATTTCTGGTCCTATCCTTTTCTTTTAAAACCCCAAATGTCATTTTATTCAGGAAAGAAATATTTACTAATTTCACATGCAGACTCTCAGTACGAAGTGCTGGTTTGGTTTGCCTAGCATTTATTATTTTTTGAGGAACCTGCTGTGTAGGTCAGGTTTGTTTTAAAATTCTGAACCTCCTGACTGTTGAGATTACAGGTGTGCACTGTTGACCAGCCTCAACCATACTCAAACAGCACTGACGTCTTATGTAAGTATCTACGTCCCTTTGATGGTAGTTGTCACAAGCAGAAACTTGATTCTGAGAACACAGTCAACAAATATTTTAAAAAATGGAGATCTGTGCCAAATATCCATCTTTAGGGGTTCAACAGTGTTTCGTGACCTTACCTGCTGTAAAATAAGGGACATCTGGTGCAAACTGGTTCTAGGGCAATAAGGTTCTACTATGCTGATTAGCAGCAGGGAGTCATGAAAAGCTTCTTGGCCAAAATGAGTCCTGAGCTGGGCCTTTCCCTCACATGATGCCTTCTCCAAGCTCCAAATTCCTGCTCTCTGCTCCCTCAGGCCCATAATTCACTCCCTAAGGACTCTCCCCCCGAATCCCAGGTCCACTTGGTAGCAACTCCTGACATTGCTTTCCTTGTTTTCTTAAACACTAAGTGATCTTGGCTTTATTTGGGAAACTTTTGCCCACTAAACTTTCAAATTCCATTTGGGATTGGAGCTCACCCTGGAGTTTATTTAACATACCCTCCTTTTCACTAAAGTGGGAGATAAGCCAGGAACTATAGGAAGTTACATCACTGTCCTCTGCTTAAGAAATGCTGACTCTCCATCCAGCTGAACATCATCTCAAAGCAGTGCTTTGTTTAAAGCAGGCATCACCCTGCAGTCCTGGTTGGCCTGGAACTCAGGATCTTCCTGCCTCAGTCCTGAGTGTTGAGGACTTCAGGTGCACAGCACCATGGCCAGAAAAAGCTGCTCTGTTTTTTTTGTCTTACTATGTAGACCAGGTTGGCCTTGATCTCAGAGACCTGCCTGCCTCTGCCTCCCGATTAAAGGCATGCGTCACCACGCCCTGCCAAAGCTGCTCTTTTTAACCCCTGAGATTACTGACCCTAAACACTTTCTTTTCCAGTGACTTCCATTTTTGTTCTGATGAAATTTCCTCAAGTGTACACTCTATCACATGGTGGGAACTTTCTATCTAAAATTTTGTTTCATACTCAGGTTAAGTTTCTGTGCAGAGGTTTCCACTACATGACTTGGGCAGCATGCTGAGTTCTCCAGATGGTATAGGAGCAAACCAGGGCAAGCTCCGTTCTAGATCTGCAGATCTGACCATCTCTCCAGCCCCTATTAAAACTTAAAAAAAAAAACCACCCCAAAAAACAGATGGGTGTGGTAGTGTGGTGGAACATATCTTTAATCCCAGCACTGTGAGGCAGGTGGAGCTCTGTGAGATGGAGGCCAGCCTGGTCTACATAGCCAGTTCCAAGGTGAACTGGGGCTACAGGGAGACCCCCTTTCAAAACAAAACGAAACACAAAATATAGTATTATAGTGTGAGGTTAGAGGACAACTCGGGGAAGCCCTTCCCCCATGTGGGTCCTAGGAATGGAACTCAGGTGGGTCAGGCTTGGCAGCTGGCACCTTTACTGAGTCTTGAATCCCCCATTTTTTAAAATTAGAATTTGGTTTGGAGACGGCTCAGTAGCCCAGCCTGCTTGCTGCTCTTCTGAGGACTGGAGTCTAGTTCCCATCAAGTGCAGCTCTGCTCTCAAGCCTGTAACTCCAGCTCCAGGGTATCTGACCCTTCCTTCTGTCCTCTAGGAACCCACACTCATGTACACGTTAACTACCCAGAGACATATACATAACTAAAAAATGTTAAAAAAAAATATGGTGGCACACAC